CTCTAGCATCCACGGGTTGGTTATTCTTTGCGGTGGAAACCGATCCTGTTCGTCTCTGGGTCGCACCAAATTCGGATTCGGCAACGCAGAAGGAATTTTTTGATAAAAGCTTTGGCCCATTTTATCGAACCCAGCAAATATTTATTACTAATAGGGACCCAACGCAAAGTGTTGTGTCCTATGAGAATCTCAAAAGTCTATTCATAATGGAACAGCAAATTCGAAAACTTGAATCTTATCCAGACCATCTTACTTTGCAAGACCTATGTTTTCATCCGAATGGGGACGCATGTATAGTGCAGTCGGTGGCTGGTTATTGGCAATCCCAGGTTGAGAGACTCAAGCCCGATACATGGCAAGATGAATTCGAAATGTGCGCAAATACTCCGTCGTATTGTTTGCCAGACTTTCAACAACCATTGAAACCTGACATGATTCTTGGTGGTTTCGAAGACAAGAATTATCTATCAGCAAAGGCTTTTGTACTCACTTTTGTTTTGAATAATTATGTGAACGAAAGGAGGATTGGCATGGCCGAAGAATGGGAGAAATCGTTAAGAGAATACTTGGAAGATGTCATTGAGGGAAAAAACAATGACATAAATATGACGCAGTTGAGGATAAGTTTTTCCACAGAGGTTTGTACTACTTTCGGATCTAACACTTCCCTCATTCGCTTCACCCATTAAAATCTATTAATTCGTGATTGTTAATAATTATCAGAGTTCTCTGGAGATCGAACTTAACAAATCTACCAACACCGACATTTTAACTATAGCTATTTCGTATATCGTAATGTTTCTCTACGCATCTTTTGCTTTGGGTAACATGACAACATTTCCACGCACGATCATTGACTCAAAGTTCATGCTAGGAATTAGTGGAATAATCATTGTCTTGGCATCGGTTTCAACCTCTGTAGGAATATTTTCATTTTTAAAGATAAAGGTCACCTTGATTATTGCGGAAGTCATACCATTCCTGGTACTCGCAGTGGGAGTTGATAATATATTTATTCTTAACCATGAATTTGAGAGGTTAACATTGAAATCACTTGGTAGAGAGTCGGTGGAAGAACGTATTGCAAAGACCTTGGGACGCATGGGACC